ATTTCAGCAGTTTGAAAAAGCAGCTCACCACCACCTTCTCAAAGGCAATTAGGGATGGGCATTAAATGCTGGTCAGCCAGAACACCCACACCCAGCATGGGAACTAAAATGTACATATACGTGCAGTAAAGTTCTCACACAATTTCCCTCAATTTACGTACCTGATACCATTACCTGTTTACTAGTTCTACTTGTCCTCAAGTGTCCCTCCCAGACCTTACTAGACAATAACACTGAGGGAATGCCGCCTTTCAGATGAAATGGTAAACCAAAGCCCTGTCTGCAATTTTAAATGACTATAAAAGACCTCATGGAATGAGTACGAATTATCCTTGGACACTCTTCACCTTGGTCACACTGACTTCTCTGTCCTTGACCTCCTGTGGGTTCCAATGATATCCAATATAAGAGCATGAGATGGCACCTTATCTGTTGATTTGGCATTTTACAATCTGCTGAATTCACAAATGGGCTCATCACTTTGTTTACATTTTCTTAGCATTTTACTGTTTTTATTAAATGAATGTAGGCAAGGTCAGCATTTATTGCCTATCCCTAATTCCTTTCAACACAGTACTTATTAGGCCATTTCAGAAGGTAGTTAAATGTCAGACACATTGCGGTAGGTCTGGAGTCAGACCAGGTAAGGATAGCAGATTTCCTTCTGTAACCAGAGTATTGGCAGAATTCAAATTTCACCAGCTGCTGTGGTGGAAATTGAACCTGTGCTCCAAAGTATTAGTCTGAGCCTCTGGATTACCAGACCTGTAACATTACCACTGTGCTGCCATGTCTTATTTTTCTCTTCATTTTGGTCACAAACAGCAGCTGATCATTATTCTGCCAATCACACCACCCCCGGATACATTTTGTTTTCTTTAAGTGTTGCATTACCAGTCCCTCTGGTCCTCCATCATGAACTTTTTCATCATTTAGTCTCTTCTATCTTCTACCTAATCACAGACCCCACTTCTGTGTGTTTTTTCCACGTTCTCTCACTCCACCGCCTCACCATCTTTCTCGCATAAAATCTATTAAATTTATTACCTGTCCCAATTCTGACGAAAGATCATGGATCTGACACAGTCCCTGAATGAAATCAATAGGCATTTTGCACAAGTGCTCTGCAGTGATCAGTAGACTGATTCTCAAAAACCATTTTGTACAATAGCTGAAACAAAAGTAGTTAGAAAAGCACAGCAGGTCTGGCAGCATCTGTGAAGAGAAATCAGATTTAATGTTTCAGGTCCAGTGTCGCTTCCTTAGAGCCGAAGAGAGTACTGGGAAAGGTGATATGAAACTGGATGAAGTGGCTGGTGGTGGCAATAAAGTAAATGAGATTAATTGTTGATTGTCAAATGGGCTACAACAGGTAATCAAGAAACAGGAATAAGGGAACAACGCAGTGTTGTAAGAGACTAGAACCCAGGGCACAGCCTCAGTGTGAAGGGAACGGCCCTTTGGAACTGAGTTGAGGAGTAATTTCTTCAGCCAAAGATTGGTGAATCTTTTGAACTCATTGCCACAGAGAGCTGTGGAGGCCATGTCATTGAGTGCAGTTAAGATACAGATAAGTTTTTGATTAGTAAGGGGATCAAGGGTTATGGGGAGAAGGCAGGAGAATACGGTTGAGAAACACATCAGCCATGATCGAATGATCGAGCGGACTTGATGGGCTGAATGGCCTAATTTTGCGCCTGTGTCTGTGGTTTTATCTTGTCTTACAGTCAGTTACTGAATCTGAAATATCTAAAACATAGTGGAGCATGGTGAAGTCTCCATAATCGGTCTCAGTTCTCAGATGAGCTGCTTTCTTTCATGATTTCTGACAATGCCTCCACAGGGGAAACTATGTGTACACACAGAAAACAAAACAGAAGACTGTGCAGATAGGGTTACATAATATTGGACAAAAGGAGACCTTTCTGGCCAAATGGACCAGCAGAGCAGACTGGTTCAAATGGTCAATTTATATACTGGAGAATGACATGCCCACTGTTCGCAAATGCTCTCTTTCTCTCTAGGTGTCACCTCAAAGGAACACATCCTAACAGAGATTAACGCTGGAGTTGATTTGTGATTCAACTCCAGTAGTCACTATAGTAAGTACATTCACCACAGACACATGTACAGAGCTTTCAATCAATAATGCTGCATTAGAATTTCTAAGTTCTCATGAGGAGACTTTACAGAGCAGATATTTTGCTCATTGTCAGGATAACAGCAGATATCTTTCATCAAAGCTGTTTTACTTTTGAAAAAAAAGTTCAATTTTAATATGGAACCTGTTTTTTGCAACCTCTATTTCAACACATTGAACTGTTCTCTCTAAGTTCACTGCCTTCCTATCCTCCTTCATGTAAACAACCTCAACACATATTCACAAGCACTGTGGTATCTCACAGTCTCGCTAATCCAATTGGGTTACAATGTCTGGCTAATTCTGAATTGCATCAGGTTTTATGGAGGATTTCTTGCTATGAAGCCTAGTGCATTTCTTGCCCTATCATAACAAACTTCCCTCGTTAATTACCTACTTGGCATCTCACATCCAAATTCTGCCCCATTTTACCATACAGTGGAACAGCTCACCACTCAGCGGATAACCCTGAATTCATTGGCTTCACTTGCACCCACTCTATCTTTGAAAGCCCTGGATAAGCACTGTCAGTCCTGAGCTGCACTGTGTAGATGTGGCCATTTGCTCCAGACAGAGTAAAGAAGGATATCAGTGCCCTGCTTTGTAGGCAGTTCCTGGAGATCATAGTGGACATGGTGATGCACTCATATGACTTCTCTCCCCCCAGGATCATCACTGGAGACCTTAACACCAGATATGCCAGCTGGTCTGAGAGTGCCACCAAGTGCAAAGCAGTGCAGGCTATGTACAGGAATGTCCATCAGTGTAGGAAGAACGTTAATGGTCTTCCCCACTGCCCTGGTGTTAATAGAACATAGAACATAGAACATAGAACAGTATAGGCCCTTCGGCCCACGATGTTGTGCTGAACCTCCACCCCTACCTTATACTATCATCCATATGCCAATCTAATAGCCGCTTAAATGCCCCTAATGAGGCCGACTCCACTATGCTCTCCGCCACCAACTGCTCTCCGATACCACACACTCACTCTATCTTAGCTACCTTTACAACCTCCCATGAAGGCTCACGCTCTACACTTTCACTACTGCCTGAAACATCCTTCCTCGTTCACCCTCATCAACATCACTAACACTGCATGCCCTCAATGCTGCCTACTCTACCATTGAGGAACCTACCCCTTCCCCTCGCCACAACAGTAACTGTGACACCCACTTTCATCTTCTGTAATAACTGCCTCTCTCTCATTCCACGAGGAAAACAGCCCACAGTAGGCAGAAACAGGCAAGAATGCAGCAATAAGAGCCTGGTATCTCTGGCTCAAGGTCAAGTGTGAAACGGCAAGCTAAGACAATGCAAGGCAGGGATGAATGAACGTGCACTGTAACAGTAAGTGCAGAGATGCAGCCTGGTCCAGTCTACGAGCTGGGTATGTATTCCTGAGCACACAGTGTCCTTGCTGCAGCGTTACAGCAACACTGAAGTGCAGAAGCATCCTGCAAGTGGTTCGGAGATGTTCCATGAAGATTCTTAGAAGCTGACACATGTTGGATGCCAATGTTCATGAATGTCGAATGCATGTAGCCAGCATCCATGTAGCACACCCTGAGATGTTGGTGCCCAATTTCAAAAATAGATATTGTTTGGAACAAACAGTGAGCTAAATTTGCAAAGTGCTTACTCTGGTTTCCTTGTCAAACTTTTCCAAACATTTAAGTTGTTTAGTGAGCTAAATAAGATAGGAATCTCAATATTAATGAGGCAAGTTGCAGCATTAACAAATCATCTAACAAGTGTAAATCCCCATAAATTGGCCTCACTCTCACTGTCTAGTGAGAATCTTGTCACACTGTTTGTGAAAAGTATAAAAGATAGCATGGGTTATTCCTGACGATGAGATGGACCTTGTTGCCAATTCTGCAAAACATTTTACCATAGCCCTTGTCACTCAGATCCCTATAATATTCCTCCTATTGTACGAGCTATACATACGGCCATCTCTGATCTTCCTTGCACAACTACCCTCCTTCAACTCCTTCCATTCCCCCAACCATAATTCCTGTTTTACTCAGCACTACAAAAAAAACTCCAAATTCACTTAAGATTGCACTCTCCAAAGCCCAAAAATCAGCTTTGGCTCTCCGCTAGTCACAACATTTCTGCAGCTACCGATTTACTCAACTGCACCCTCACTTCTATGTTAATACCCTGACCTCCAAAATGACCATTATTCTGTTTCACATTGCCTGTTTCCTGGTACAGTTCTCATCTCTGGTGGACAATTGGTTTAGTATCAATTGACAGATTCAACACCATGGGCTCCGACTTCTCATCTGCTAAAACTACATACTGTCCCAGGATCAATGCAAAGATAAACCCAGGTGTCTTTTCCCTTCTTCAATTTTCTGAAACCCCTCTTCATCGTCCCCTCCATTCATATCTTTAACAATATGCGCATGGAGTTTTTGGTCTTCTTTATCACTAAGACCAAGACCAGCCAATCAGTTGTCTCTGCCATATTGCTCCTTTTCACTAGGCCACCTAGTTAAACTAGCTTTAGTTTCCCAGTGCTCCGGTCCTTAATTTACCTCATTCTCTTGCTCCACCTTATTGCCCCTCATGGTCTGTCTGACCTCATCCCGTCCATGAAACCCATCCTCTGCTTCTGTTCTGGCTGAAATTTAATTGGAATTTATTTACAAGTATGACTATAACTCAACATATGACACTGGAATAAGTTATTGTACCTCAAACACGCACAGTTTTCATTTACTTTTTCACAAATACTTTTTTGCAAATTCTGAATAGGCTGTTTTCTATTGCCAAGCTGACAGGATTGATATCTTGGCAGCAGTTGTATGAGCAAGCTTTCTACTCAGTGTAACCAATATCTTTGTACCTTTTCTCCAGTCAGGGTGACCATGTCCAGAGGACCATACATGAATCTTCCCATCAGTGTCTGAGGGCTACCTTCTGCTATGATAACATCATTGGCTCGGTGGTTCGCAGTTACGTTCTGAGAAAAAAGAATTTTATAGTGTTACTAATCATTGTTCATTCACCGAACCGTAGACAATATTTTTCAATGTTTGCTAATCAATTGCAAGTCCTTTTTTGATTTGTTTGTTCCTCTTCCCTTGTAACTTCTTTCAACCAACCTTCCCTCCAACCCTAAAGATACTGAGTTTTATTTCAAGAGATTCCAATTGCAGAACCTATAACCATTTAGTAAAATGTTCAAGATGTTGTTATTTAGAAGTGGGTCTGTCTGAGTGCGTTCAGACTGTTGAACCAAGGGCATCTATCACAGTTTGATTCAGGTCCATCTTAACTGGGTATCCACACAGAGTCATACAGTAATGCAGCACAGAAACTGACCCTTCGGTCCAACCAGTCCATCCTGACCATAATCCCAAACTAAACTAGTCCCACCTGCCTGAGCCTGGCCCATATCCCTCCAAACCTTTCCTATTCATGTACTTATCTAAATGTCTCTTAAACACTGTAATTGCAGCTGCATCCACCACTTCCTCTGAAAGTTCATTCCACACGAACCACTCTCTGTGCAAAAAAAAACTGCCGCTCATGTCTTCTTTAAATCTTTCTCCTCTCACCTTAAAAATATGCTCTACAGTCTTGAAATCCCCCACCCGAGGGTAAAGACACCTGCTATTCACTTTGTCCATACCCCTCATTATTTTATAAGGTCACCTCTCAACCTCCTGCACTCCAGTGAAAAAAGTCCCAGCTTATCCAGCCTCTCCTTGTAACTTAAACACTCCATTCCTGGCAACATTCTGGTGAATCTCTTCTGAGCTTTCTCCAGCTTTATAATATCCTTCCTATAACAGGATGACCAGAACTGGACACAATATTCCAGAAGAGGCCTCATCAACGTCCTATACAGCCTCTATATAACATCCCAACTCCTACACTTAAATGTCTGAACAATGTTTTCACATCCACTGGGGATTTCTAGTTAATAATCAGGAGGAGTATTGACATTGTTTTTTATATTTATATTTCCAAGCCCAGATACATTAGGGTCAATAGCAGCACCTCTACCACTTGTATTCTGCCTGAATTTGCTAACTCAGTCAATAAGAGATTCACCTCCATCTACCTTTGAAGCTTCCAGATCAGCTTGTATAAATATCACATTGTAGGGCTGGGAAAGATCATCATTCTTTTCCTAATCTTTCAATCTCATGTTCAAAATGTACCTCAGTGATCTCAGGCTGATTAGAGCTGCAAAATGCCTCAATTTTCACAATATTTTCTCTAAATTATAAATTGGAAGAATAGAAGTCCAATTACCCTCCCAACTCCACCAGTTAAGCACAGATCAGTGTCTGATGATGTGATTCACACTGAGAATTTCTGTTCTCAGGTACCTGTCAATCAAAATTAAACCCAAGAGAGAACAGTAGAGACCAGAATCTTGATGACAAGATAAAAAAAAAACACCATTATCTAAATAGCCATCAATACTGGGAAGATCATTTCCTGTTGTTCATCTGTTTTTAGTAGCTGTCATGAAAACTGATTTACACAACTGACCAAATACTAACTGAATGGTTCACTTTTGCATAAGGATGAATCATCCAGGGAATGTGACTCAGCAGAATTGAACATGTGGGTCTAATGTCCCATGGATTTACTCAATCACTGAGAGTCAGTGAAAAATACCAGTGCTTTATTATCTTGGAGGCCTTCCTCTGTTCATCTGGGAGATTAGATTGGTTAGATACAGCTTATGAGATAGTCTGCAGATGAAAAATGGTTTCAATTTGCTTGTCCTAGTTTTTTGAGCAATGGAATTAAAAGGTCTGCAAAGCTTGTTCCATACATGACTATCTCACGACACTCTAATGCATTGCAGGAATAAAGGGGAGCACACTAACAAAGAGAACAGGTATAATTTACCAAGGTACAACTGTGATATGTTTCTATTACTCAGAGTTAACTAAAAAAAAAGGCTCAAACAAGATTTCTTTACTGGGAGTGATGTTTTACCAATACTTAAAGATTAGTGAGCTGTCACAAGAACTCTGCATGTCTGGTCCGTTTCCCACACTTTTTTTTGAGTGTCAGTATTTCTCTTGTCAATATTTCTTAGCTGTTTCTTATCCCTTTAACCTTAGCATTCTGTGTTTACTCATTTAGTTCACTGTTATTCCTCCTGGTAAGGCTGATTGAATAATTTACTCCAATGAGGCAAATATATTATAATAAGATGTAAATGGTGGAATGAGATTATCTATTTCTAGCAATTACACACTACGCCAGTCAAAAGATACAGCTTTATGAGAAGGAATTAAAATGTAAAGGACCATCAGACATTCAGTCACAGAGGAACTGTTGGGACTAAATCCAACTAGAAAATGCAATGGCAATTTTTATTCTTCAATAGCACTGCTGCTCCCACAATCTTGCAGCAAGGTGAAACAGCCAAGCTCCTTCCAGTGGAGACTGACACTATAGCATTCCCATAATAGTCCCCATCATAATCAGCCTTACCAGGAGGAATAACAGTGAACTAAATGAGTAAACACAGAATGCAAAGGTTAAGGGGATCAGAAACAGCTAAGAAATATTGACAAGAGAAATACTGACACTCAAAAAAAGTGTGGGAAACGGACCAGACATGCAGAGTTCTTGTGACAGCTCACTAATCTTTAAATATTGGTAAAACATCACTCCCAGTAAATGAATCTTGTTTGAGCCTTTTTTTAAAGTTACCTCTGAATAATAGAAACATATCACAGTTGTACCTTTGTAAATTGTACCTGTCCTCCTTGTTAGTGTGCTCCTCTTTATTCCTTCAATTCATTAGTGTCTTGAGATAGTTATGCATGGAACAAGCTTTGCAGACATTTTAGCACCATTGTTCATTTGTTATGTAATGGGGCAGGGTTAGTGACTCAGGCAAACAACAAGTACAAGGTCCAGAGATAGTAGGAACTGCAGATGCTGGAGAATCTGAGATAACAAGGTGTAGAGCTGGATGAACACAGCAAGCCAAGCAGCATCAGAGGAGCAGGAAAGCTGACGTTTTGGGCCTAGACCCTTCTTCAGAAATGGGCTACACTGCTAAAGTTCTACTCCCACCTGCTTTACTAGCTATTGTTTTCAGACTGGAGTCTGTGTTAAGAAGCTATTTCTCAATTACGTCTCCTTGAAATCAAGGTGAATTACATGACTGTTGTCCTGACCACAGGTCACAACCCCAAAGTGCAGTGGACATTTTATCCTTTAATTCCTGAATATGTTTGTTTTTAAGAAAGACCGTTACAGACTCAAGATAACTGGAAGCATAAAATCTTCTTCGTGGGACCAATGGAATATAACACCTAAGGGTGTCAAAGAACCTTCAAACAGACTGAACTGTACCTCTTGTAACTATAATGAGGGATGACAATCCCCTGCTGAACAACAAGCTACAGTCCAACAAAAACGCCCCAAACTACAAACACGTTTTGTCTTTATCCCTTTGAAAAACGCACCAGGACAGAGGTTAAAAAGGCAGTCCAACTGTACTGGAGTGGACTAGTGGGACTGAATGCTGTCATGTATACCAGTCTGTGTTCAAGTGTTAGTGTGTGGCAAAGGTCACATTCAAAGAACTATCCCCGAGTTACCCCTGTGCTGCAGGTAAAGACTATTTTTACCATTCCAAATGCTACAAACCAATTTAAAAAAGGAATCAGGACAAAGGAACTTCCATCAGCCTAAGAATCAAGAATCTTAAAAGTGATCTGTTCATTTATTTTCCTTTATTCATTAACAGGGTGAGGGCGTCACTGGCTAGGCAGCATTTATTGCCCATCCCTAATTGCCCAGAGTCAACCATGTTGCTGTGAGTCTGAAGTCACATGTAGGCCAAACCAGGTAAGGATGGCAGTTTCCTTCCCTAAAGGACATTAGTGAACCAGATGGGTTTTTCCTGACAATTGATTCAACAGATCCTTAATTCCAGATAATTTTTATTGAATTCAAATTCCACTATCTCCTGTGGTGGGATTCAAATCTAGGTCGGCAGAACATCTCTGGATTAACAGTCCAGTCATAATACCACTAGGCCATCACCTCCCCTTAATCTAACATTTACATTGCTAACATTAGCACATTGGCTTATCTGCCTTTCACAAACAGTTCAGATACTGATCCATATAACCACCTTTTTACTTTTGACTTGTTGGACTCAGCTCTTACTTTAAATCTGTGTGTATGTGTACTACATTATTACCTACTAAAGGCAAGATGCATTAGTTAAGTCTCTCTTTGTTAACTCAGGAAAGCCTGGGTAAATTGGCTCCTTTTAAAGCATAACTTCATTTTCTCTGGGAAAAGGCTATCCACAAGGGAAGGTTTTTTTTTAAAAGGTTAACCTTGTTGCAATCAGCCAAGGGGATGAGCAAATGAAATATGGGAGTCAGTTCACTCAGGAGCTCTGAGGTATCTGATCTGGAACCATAATGAATTGGTTGCAACATTATAGAGGAGGTTCAGTATTTATTTATATCTATATATAAATATATATACATGATGGAGTTAATGAGGAACCCATACTGGGGATACTCTGGGAAAGGAGCAGAGTTTTCCTGTCAAATGGGTTTTAGGAAGGGTGTAAGGCTCTAATTGCAATTTATGGGAGCAACGAGTACACATGTAAAGATGTTAATGCTATAAATATTGGGTTAGACAGCATTTTGTGCTCATCTCTGCTAACTGTAATATTTCTTGTTTAAAAAAAAGTAGATTTAATCTATTAGAAATAGAAGTGGGCTGGTGATTTACTACATAAACCGTTACAAGTCATTGGCGCCAAATACAGCAATTTATTTTGTAAAATGACTGGTCTGTACAGTATTTTTATAAATAAGATTATGTTACAGAGCCTAATTGAACTAGTACCCAATGATTTCACACCATCTCTGGTGGATTTATCAGTCCAGATGAATTGTGATGTGATGTGCACTTTAATATCATGAGATGAGGCCTGGAACTTACAATAGGAAAGTAAAAATAAATTTAAATGCCTGTAAAGTAGATTTTCTATCATTACCATAGCAGATTAAATAGAGCATAATGAGAGAGATGTCGTTAAACATAAATATTAGAGGAAGCCATAAGCATAGCAACTTCTTTCAGCTACTTGTGCATCTGAGAAAAACTGTGATATACAAACCATGTCATTGATGTTGGAATGAACAGCTTATGGGTATCTTGTTTAATAGCAAATCGACAAAAATGCACAGATAACAAATATTATAAATATATGTTGCTCAGGTACAGAACATCCATTTTGCACAATTAGTACTGAGGTTGCAAATAGATAAAGGTTACCCCAGTTGTGAGTTGCAAGTAATCTTCTCCAAGCTCATTTCAGGTTTTGCTTCTGCTTGCACTTTGAGGTGATAGCATAAATAAATGTGTTCTAAATGGGCTTTTGTGCCCATTTCTAGAGAAGATGTTATTCCTCAAACAGAAATTTGTTTGTGTACTGAGCAAAGATTTAATTTAAAACACACTGAAATAATCACTTCAATTCTACTTTTGGCCACAAAATGGCAGCATTGCTGTTTGCTCAACAAGAAGCTGCGACACGAAAATCTCGAATCATACAATTATCAAATCCCTACAGTGTGGAAGCAGGACATTCGTCCCATTGAGTTCACACTGACCCTGTGAAGAGCATCTCACCCAGACCCACCCTCTAACCCTGCATTCCCCGTGGCCAATCCACCTAACCCGTACATCTTTGGGGAAGAATGTGCAAACTCCACACAGACAGTCGCCCGAGGGTGGAATCAATTAGGGCAAGTCATAAATATCCTGCCTACTAACAAGATGTCACCATCTCATCTGTTTCTTTATACAATCAAACACAACTGGCACAAACCCTAAGCTTCACGTGTGTTCGTCTGCGAAGCCATTTCTCCCGTGGGCTTGATTCATTGCACGTGGATGAATCCTTGCTGTCGTTCTCCTTTATATTCACACTTTCATACCTCATTACCTGTAATTAGAAAAGCTTCAGCTATAAATACACCAGCCTCACCAAAAAAAAATTGATACAGAGCAATCTTTAATACAGCACACATTACTTATAGTTCCTTTACAGAGAAACCATAAAAATAACTACTTCAATATGCTTTCACTGTAAGTATAAATGATTGCCTGATAGACCCTGAGTAGGCAACGTACCTTTTACTGAACAAAAGCCTTAAAACAGCTCCTATTAATCTAGTTCGAATTTTCAAGTCAAACTTGTTGAATTTGTTAAATTATGTTGAAATGTGCAATTGAGAATCCCTTTCTATGAAAATAGCAGAATTTGAGTGATTGAATTTATTCAAGGCCGAGTTAGATAGAAATTTGGCAATCCAGGCTTACATGGGAGGAGACCCACAGAAGTGGAATTGCAACCACGTATAATTCTATGATCTGACTGCATGGCAGAGCAGGGTCAAAGAGCCAAGTGTCCTGTTCCTAAGTCCTGTGTTCCTAAAACGAGCACAGCATTAATTCGATTGCACAGTTTGTTAGCACAGACACAGTTAGCATGAACCATTTTATTCATGTACATATAAATCTTTGATAGCTCATATCATAAAATAAATCACAAATGCTTTAAAAATGTATCATGAATAGCTCATTTTTCATAAATCAATTAAATGATTCCTGTTTATTATGCTGATTCCAGTAACATTTTGAATTACACAAATTCAATGATCACAGAGCAGCTGATCATTATGGCATTGCAGCAGACCTTCATGAACTTTGTGTAGAAGGTGTCCTCTGTCAGTGTTGCAGTCACCCTCTCAGATCTAACCCTGACTTTGTAATCAAATCTGCTGACCAGGGTGATGCTGTTGTCATCTTCTATACCTTGCAGAGGCTGAGTGCCAACTTTCAGAAATGTCTCCCTGTCTTCACCTGGACCATGACTCCATAACTGAACATCAAGCTGCTCTTTCCAGGGCTGTCAATGTCTTCGTCTCCTCTGGAAATCATACTCTCCACAACTTTCCTCCTCAGTTCACCAAACCCATACAGCACACTTTTCCATCCTTTCCAAAATCTACAAACAGGTCCGCCCTGTCAGACCCAATGTTTCAGCCTGTTCCTTCCTAACTGAACTTATTTTTTTCTATTTCGGTTATATTTTTCTCCCCCAAACCAGCCTCTTTACGTCTACATTCGTGATACTTCTAATGCTCTACATATCAGTTCCACAAATTTCATTTTTGGGCCTCAGTTGCTTCTACTTCACTATGGACATGCAATCTTTCTCCTGTATTCACCACTCACAATATTCACCACTCCTTTACAATACCAAGGCCAGACACAGGCTGGATGACCAGATTGTGGAACAAACTCCATTCTGTCCACAAGAATGACCCCACCTTTCCAGTAACTTGTCTCTTCAATATACCATCTCGCTCTTACATTAATGTTTCTGCCCTGGGCCTGCTGCAGTGCTCCAGCAAAACTCAATGCAAGCTGGGGAAACACCATCTCATTTTCCGTTAGGCACTTTCCAGCCTTCAGGATTCAACATTAAGTTCAACAACTTCAGACCATGAGCTCTGTCTTCCGTTTGATTATCCTTATCCCCTACAAACATCTTTACCCCCTCCTGCTGTGTCCTATTTGAAATAACCCCATCACCAGGTCACCCTTTGGTTATACATGGAGAGTTTTTGACACTGCTCCAGCTCCTTCACAGCCAGCTGTCACAGTGAACAGGATGTCTGACTCTCCTGTTCTTATCTGTCAGCAAGGGCTCCCTGATTGAGCCAGATTAACAGCCCCAATCGGGGAACTCCTATTCTATGAAGTCTTCCTGGCTGACGTCATTTCAATCACTACACTGTTTGCATGGGTTTGCTCTCAGAAGAACAGACCTATTTACGTCTATAATTACCTACCATTACCACCTAGTCTTCATCTATACCCTTCTCAACTACCATTAGCACTCTCTTTGCCTTTGCTAGCACCTTTCCCAGCTGTTCAATCTGCTCCTTCTCCACACCTTTCCTACAGCATTAAAAACACCACTTTTCTATGCCCTTTCAGTTCTGAAGATAAGTCATATTGGACTCACAACATTAACTCTACTTCTCCTTCTGCAGATGCTGCCAGAACTGCTGAGTCTCTCCACCACTTCCTGCAGTTTTCATCATTGCTGTTTCCTGGCTGTCTCCAACCAGCAATTTTCAAACACCTAAACTGGCTCTGTCCTTCTATTGTACCAACTTTCACCTGGTTTGTATCTCATTCCATCCATTCTCTAAGATTTACCAGGATGCCAGAGAGGAATCAGAAACAGGAACATAAACTTATTTTCTCCATCTTAAACGTAAGGGTGTTATAGTTGAGTTGGCTGCAGAAAGTACATAGACCTGGACTAGGAGGTCAGTGGTAGCATGGGGTTGAGTTAGAAGTGCCTTTTGCAGCTTAAGGTTAGCTCCTGAATTGAGTGAAAGTGTAACCGATCCAGGGAAGTATCCATGCTTGGCTGAAGATGAACCCAGATTCGAACTCTGAAGGTGATGACTGGACAGCGATGGTCAAGTTGTGACTAGGCAGACTTGGGTGTGGAACTGTCTCATAGAATCCCTACAGTGTGGAAGCAGGTCATTCGGCCCATTCAGTCCACACCAACTTTCCGAATAGCATCCCACTCAGGCCCACCCCCCTACCCTAATCCTGTAACCCTGCATTTCCTATGGCTAATCCACATAGCCTGCATATCCCCAGATACTGTGGCCAATCCACCTGACCTGCACATCCTTGGACTGCAGGAGGAAACCGGAGCACCCGGAGGAAACAACGCAGACACGGGGAGAATGTGCAAACTCCACACAGACAGTCACCCGAGGCTGGAATCGAACCTGGGTCCCTGCCATTGTGGGGCAGAGAGTGGTAACCATTGAGTCACTGTGCTGCCCTAACTCAGGAATGAGTTGTAGGTCTATGTAATCAGAAGAAGCTGTTGGCTGGCGGGAGCACTGTTAACCCTGGCAGATGAGAAGATATTGGCAACAACCAACAACAAAAAAACAAGGCCAATATCTGAAGTGGTTTGACAATCTTATAATTCCTGCAGACCAATAAGGGATTAAAAGGATGAACAGCCATTAATTTTCCTTTGTAGGTCACTCCAAGTTGACAAGTGGACAAACCAAGTGAATAAACAAAATAAAACCCTGTGTGAAATTGCAATGGAATGTTTCAAATGAAAATGTTATGCCACATTCATTTTTCACTCAAATCTTTATTTTAAAATGTACTGGGTTGATGAATCAAACTATTGTTACAAGAACACTCTCTTTATCAACACTATGTATGAAAAATCATTCCTTGTAATTAGAATTCTAGAACATCTATTCATATTGTCAGCATTTAATATGACAAGATTAACACATTTATAACAAAATGATACAACATAAATAATAAAATATTCCTCTTAATTCATGTACATTGATGTATTCTGCCAGAACAGTATTCATAATTTTCCTGAACTATTACAAAAAGCCTCTCGGAAATGACACAGCCACAGCCATTAATCTTGGCTTAAAAAAGCTACAGAGAAAGTGCTAATTCAAAGTAAATTTTAGGTGTACAATGTAGCCCCAACATAATACCTGTCATCAGGTTACAGATCTTTTGCCAAATGATTATAGCCAGCTCATTAGCAGTTATTTGTTGTCGTACTCCACAGCTATAATAGTTGTGAAGTGGAACTTCATCAGGAAGGATGTCGACAGACTTGCTTCATTCATTTTTGTTTGCGTATAGCCAGAGTGACTGTAGGTTAGTTTACTTTCATCCACCAAGCTGATTAGATGAAGTCAGGTGCCCATTTTATACAATTGCCCCAGTTAGCTCCAAGAACATCAATGGAAATTAAAATTGGGCAAGTGGTTAAAGAGGCCACAACGACAAGTAATCAATCCGAAATGTTAGCTCTGTTCTCTCACCTTAGATGTGGCCAGATCTGTCAAGTTCATTTCCAGTATCTTTTGCTTTGACCTCATTGACTACAATTGGTATGTTTGTGTACTTCAATATACTTATTACATACATACGTGGTACTATAGTTTTTACAGCACAAAAAGGCCATATGGCCTAACAGGTGCCAGCCTGTGTTAATGCTTCATGAACCTTTTCCTCTTCTTCTTCAGCAATTCCCTCTATTCCTTACTTCCTTGTGTTCATCTACCATCACATTATATGCATCAATCTCATTCCCTTCAAATTCCTCTTGTGGTAGTGACTTTTACATTCTAATCATTCCATATTTAAAGAATTTCCTCCCAAATTCCCAATTGATCCATCAGTCATTATCTTGTATTAATGGCTCTCAGTTATATGTTCTCACGACTAGGTAACATATTTACTCTACCAAGACGTTTAAAATTCTGGAAGACCTCTGTCAGGTCAATCCTCAGTTTTATATTTTGGCTTACAATTGTCCATCACAATGTCAGATGACAGATTATCTTGCAACATTTTATCTCAATGTATTTCACTCTATGGATGAATATCCACTATTGGAGACTCTGACTTGCATCAACAACTGTTAATCATTTTTATTTCCATAACATGGCTGTGTTCTGATAATGTTGCACAAATTAATGCATTAATTGGAAGGACTCTTGGGGAGCAGTGGTAATGTCCCTACCCTTTGACCAAGATATCCATGTTCAAGTCCCATCTGCTTCAAAGGCACATAATAACATCTCTGAACAGGTTGGTTAGAGAAAAAAATAGGTCAATGCATTACTCAGGAGGTGAACTAAATTCTTAAATTGTGTCGGCTTCGGTGTGGCTTTGAGAATTGACTCCTCATGCTCATACCAGTCCCATGTCAATGTGAGTGACAGGACACTACGACTATAACAGCATTCTGCACATGCTACAACCTGAGACAAATACAAGAGTAAATTTTGTGGGACAAGTTTAGGCAGCGAGGAGCTTCAGTGTCCAGAGCTGCAGTTGTAACATAACAAAGCCACTTTTGACAGGAGCTTTGCACTGCAAACTTTACCCTAAAATATTATTTACTAACTCATTTCAAAGTGCCATGACTATTCTTAAAAAGAAATAACCTGTGAGAGTTACCTGCCGTAGAACAAATGCCAACACATCAGTTGATTCCCAGTAGCTTGCATGGAACAAGTGTGGTAGAGCCACGGTTGGAAAAGCTGTTAACGTGTCAGGGCAATACAGTGCATAGTCTATCCTCTTTGTCCCCCACCATTTTGTAGTGACTGTGAACAACAAGCAAATATTTTCTTGGGTAACATACATCATATTGTACTGAATTAAATTCAACTCTATTGAAACAATAATTAATCATTTTGATTATTCTTAACCAGACATGTTGAAACAAGCCATTTACAGAATGTAAGATGCAAGTCCTATTATATAACTGGCTGTTCTGGGCATTATGTCAAATTTGGCTACACCATAACACGTGATTTAGAGCTAAACAAATCAAACATTTGCACATTTTTGTGATGCCATCTGATCTTCCATCTTGACCTTGTTGTGAGGAGGAACCTCTATAAACAGTAGTGATCTACTAAGGCAAGGCACTTCAATTAGAAATAAAAATGGAAAGTGCTGGAGAGAGTCAGCAGGCCTGGCAGCAGCTGTGGGGAAAGAAACCTTTTGAGTCCCATGACTCTTCATACTAAAAAACTGAACTTTCTGAACTGAAAAAAAGATGGAAAAGTCATAGGTCTTATCAACCTACCTTTGTGATTCTTCGGATACCCTACCTAAGTTCAACAATTTCCAGTTTCCTGGTATTAATGGCCTCCTCTTCACTGTGGACGTGCAATCTCTCCACACCTTCACCCAATCAGGGAGGCTCTCTGCTTCTTCTCTGAACAACATATCCTCCCTCTTCCCTTCCATGTCAGAACTTCTTAGAGCCACCATGGTTCAGTCTTCCGTCACTGCCAACTCCTCAATACCTTACTTCTCCAATCTGTGACATCTTCCCTTGCAATCATACAAAGAGCAACATTTACCTCTTTACCGCCTCCCTCTTTACCGTCAAAGAGCTCAAACACTCCTTCCAGGTGAAGTACCAATTCAGTTTTACTTTTTTCAGACTATTTTAATGTATTGGCTGCTAACAATGTCTCCTTTACACTGAGTGATTTCAAATACAAACCAGGTGACCACTTTGCAGAACACTTCTGCTCAGTTCACAAATATAAGCCCAACCTTGCTCATCGCTTGCCATTTCAATCCAACGCATTGTTCTTGTGTTCACCTTTTATATCCTGGGCTTGCTGCCGCGTTATAGTGAAGTCCAGTGCAAGCTGAAGGAAAAACAGTCATTTTCCAACCAATGTGTTCAACAACAACTTTAAACCCTGAACTTGGTCCTCCATTTTGATTAATGGGGATGCAGGAACAGGGGGACCTGGGTGTTAATGTGCACAGATCATTGAAGGTGGCAGAATAAAAAACTAAAGAACTGTGGATGCTGTAAATCAGGAACAAAAACAAAGTTGCTGGAAAAGCTCAGCAGGTCTGGAAGCATCTGTGAAGGAAAAAACAGAGTTAACGTTTTGGGTCCAGTCACCCTTCCTCAGAAGGTGGCAGGACGGGTAGAGAGTGTAGTAAATAGAACATACAATATCCTCATCATTATTAATGATAAATAATCATAATAGTGCAGAAGATAAAGTTTGAAAACACATACCAACAGATTTAAGACCAGCTTCTTCCCTGCTGTTATCAGATTTATGAACAGACCTCTTATATATTACAGTTAATATATCTTTCTCTACGCCCTCTCTGTAGCACGATATTCTGTATTCTGTTCTATTACCCTGAGGTACCTATATAGGGCATGATTTGTCTGGAAAGCACGCAAAACAATACTTTTCCCTGCATCTCGGTACATGTGACAATAATAGATTAAATCAAACCAAATATTAATTGGGACATAGAGTACAAAAGCAAAGAGTTGATGTTGAACTTCTATAAGACACTTGTTCGGCCTCTTTTGGGGGCATTGTGTACAGTACTGGGTGCCATTTTACAGGAAGGGTGTGAACGCATTAGAAAGAATGCAGAAACAATTCACAAGAATGGTTCAAGGGATGAGAAATTTAAGTTATGAGGATAGTTTGAAGAAGTTGAGACTGTTCTCCTTGGAGAGCAGAAGGTGAATCAAGAGTCACCAGACTCAAAATGTTAGCACTGCTTCCTTCCCACAGATGTTGCTGGAACTGATATGAGGAAAAACTTTTCTCCCTCAGTGAGTAGTTCAGGTATGGAATGTATTGCCTGGATGTGTAATGGAGGTAGGTTCAATTGAAATATTCAAGAGGGCATTGGATAATGTGAAAGGGTATGGGGAATTGGCATTAGGTAATGTTGTTCATTTGAAGACTTGGTGCAACCACAAAAGGCTGAATGGCCTTCTTAGGGCAGTATGGTGGCTCAGTGGCTAGCAACGCTGCCTCACAGCGCCAGGAATCCAAGTTCAATTCCACCCCTGGGCAACTGTCTGTGTGGAGTTTACACCTCCTCCCTGTGTCTGCGTGGGTTTCCTCCAGGTGCTCCAGTTTCGTCCCACACTCCAAAGATGTGCAGGTTAGGTGGATTGGCCATGGGAAATGCAGGGTTCCAGGATAGGGTTGGGGGAGGTGGGTTTGTGTGATATCCACTTCGAAGGTTTTTGTGGACTTGATGGGCCAAATGGCCTGCATCTATACTGTAGGAATTCTGTGATTCTGCACTGTAAACACACAGTGATTCTTCAATGAAAACTAGGAAACGTTATCTATCAAGCCAGGTTCCTGACAGGGGTCTGTCTTGTCCAATTACAACATCTGCAGGGCCGCATTGAGGAGAGAGCTCACTGTTTAAAATCACAGCATTAATAGTGATTCCAGACACAAATTTAAAACTGATCCATGATTGATAGATAAACTCTGGTAAGAAGGAAGTTAAATTTCATGAAATGAGCCCATAATAGGAATGTGTAAACATTGGAACGATAAAGTTTAGTGATTGAATTGGTGCCAAAAACTTATCATATCTCCCACAGAATACTGGCATGGTATACAGATGCATCTTGTCCGATGAGGTCATGGTACCAGATGTTAACAAATCTATTTTTGCTAAAAATAATTGCAAGGTGGTCGGAACATGTAAGGACATTAAATATATACCACATACTGTCCTGGAAGGTGGGGCTAGTGCCCATTAAAGGGATAAGGCTGAAGGTTGTTTCAATTAATCTTTAGTAGAGTCAAACTGTGCAGATTAAAGGTTGTCATTGTTATTCAATCACAGCATAAATATTTCAACTTGATCTAATGTTTTATCCATTTTATTGAATGTTTTATTTCAACCAAAAACTGACATATTGATGAAAAGGATTAGCTGGTTGTCTGACAGAATTTAGACCACAAATATTATTGTTCAGCCTTCAAGTTATTTGTAGCCATTTCTTGAACACCTCCCCACACAAATGATAACACTGTGAGAATCAATTATGTTTCTAATAGTCAACAAACAGCCTTTTTCTAAAAAAATTTTTAGTAATTTTGTCAACACCGGTCCAGAGCGCATGCGCATTATATATCCTGACTAATTTTACTTTCCAATAAGTTACACAGCAATCATCCCATCTGACACTGTCAGTTTGTGATCATGAGCCTAGGCTAAAATTAACCAACAATTTTCTCTCCTTTCTTTCTGAAACCATTTATTCTGCAGATTTTCAATCTTTACAGTTGCTTTCCACTGCATGCCTCGCTCAATAATTATTCATGTGTAAGCCCCAAGAGTGCATGTTTCTATAATGTAAAAATATCAATTTTACACTCCTCTTCGCTCAATTGGCCTCTGAAATGTCAGGAGGGGTCAATGGATGACCATAATGATTCTGACATATTTTTCCCAAAGTACAGAGGCCACATGCCCCAATATTGACCCCTGTGGAACATGGAGAGACTATTGACCCCTTGACTTCTCTAAAGGATTGCCTGAGTGCAGCCGCTCCCACTTCCTCAAGCTTTCATTGCATTTAAAATAGTGGATGTTCTTGTGACTTGGTTGTAGTCATGTGATCCTTCTCTCCTGATTTTCAGTACTTGTCTCATCTTGGTAATGTTTTACACTTATATGGTGAGGCCAAAAATCTATCCCAATCGCTTCAATGAAATTACTGTGACATCTGGCTGCTTAAAGAAATGTACAGTCAAAGTATGGTACGTGGAGACTACATAACAGGGAATGGCACAATAACACATTGCACTAATACATCACCTTTAACGTAGCAAGATATCCACTACACTTTCACAGATGGTCTATCAAATAAATCTGGACACAAAATCACATACAGAAATGTTAGAGAAGATGGCTAAAAGCTTAATTGAAGAGTTAGGTTTGAAGAAGCATTTAAATGGAAATTGGATAGGTTGAGAGGCAGAGAAGCAGCTTAGGGCAAGAATTTGAGGGTTAGGGTGTAGGGAGGTGAAGTCAAAGGTAGAGACTGCAATGATAGAACAATTAAAATTGGGGATGCCAGAACTAGACGTGTGCAGACATATCTAGGGGAGATTACAGAGATATGGAGGGGAAACAAAGCCATGTTGGGATTTGAACAGAAGGATGGGAATGTTAGAAATGAAGCATTGCTGGATCAGGAGTCAACAATAGGTCAGGTTTGGCTAGTATTAGTTAACATATGGGCAGCAGTAATTTCGACGGACTTAAGTTCATGTAGAGTTGAAGATAAGAATTGGAGAGGAGGGCATTGAAGTAATCAATTTTTTTAAAAAAAAAGAATGATTGAGGGGATCATCAACAGAATAATTGAGACAGAGACAAAGTCAAAAGTTGTTACGGAAGTGGAAGTGGGCAGTATTAAAGATGGAGTTATCATGTGGTTGGAGCCATCTTAAATACAACATCAATATTGTAAACAAAGAATTTGGTTCCATCAAAGTTATAGCTTTAGCCTTCTCTATATTTACTAAGAGGAAATTTCATCTTGTTCAGTTCTGGATGTCAGACAAGGAGAGTGAAAAGTCAGAAACAATGGAGTGGGCAAGAAATATGGAAGTGTATGTTGTCAGTGCACATTTTTTTCCCGTAACTGAGAAATACTTTAATATGGCATTTTTTTTAAGTTAACATCAAAGAATGAGGCACCCAGTCTTCAGTCATTATACATTGAAAAACAAAATAGATTATATGATTCACACTGATATGGATTGAAGCCACTGGTACTGATTTGAAAAAATGAGGTAAATAGTTCAAAGTAATCAAGTAACCACGAGTGATTAAAATATTCTTCAGGATCCCCAATTAAATGGAGAAATGGCATCTGTTTGTCTATTTTACTGACAAAATGTACCTTTAATGGGATTGCTAGAAATGCTGATATATCCAAAATAGAACAGCAGAAATTGGACAAAGTCATGCTGCAAGAGTATGCTTTCTGGCCAAAACACCTCCTGAATCTTAGCTCCATTCTGGTCACTTAGCGCAAGATAACACTTAGAGGTGACTCAGAGAAGAGTTATGAAACTGACCCCTTACATCACAGAAACAAAAACAGAAGTTGCTGGAAAAGCTCAGCAGGTCCAGCAGCATTCGTAAAGAGAAATCAGAGTTAACGTTTTGGGTCTGGTGAACATCACAGAAGGGAGTTAAGAGAAAAGATGGGAGAAATTGGGATTTTTAACCTTGTAAGGAGATGATTAAGATGACTTCAGAGAGATATATAAAGTAATGTTATAAAAAGGGTAAATCTGGAATACTATTTTGAATCAAACTGTGACACTTGCTCAAGAGAACCAGCCAACAAAAGACAAATTTAGGACCGATGTTAGGAAGTTCTTGGCACAAAGAGAGCACTGGACAGAAAGGCCATTAGAATAAAAACTAAGGCAAAAGGCCCAGAATCACTTAAAAACAATTGGAATGTATAATTGAGAGACTTTCTGGACGTACGAGGTGAAATGGGGTGAGTTGTCTTCCTCATCTTTATCTATTTTCTTATGAAGTAATCTATTATTGTCAGTCATGTTCGCTTTTGTCCAGATTTAAACACCATCTTAAAGACACAGTGAATATGAGTCAAGTGTAACATGTGCAGGGCTACTTCAGCCAAAGCTACTAATTTGCTCATGAGTAAGTCATGAAAGAAATAAGAATTTTCAGATCCAATGCTCCACATAAAGGCTAGAGAAATGTTGATTAAATTGCCTGCTGTAGGAAGAGATGCTGTGAAAAGTCCAATTACAGCACATTACTGACCGTTGAAAATGAATTACATTCCACACACTTATAAAACATTAATTACAATGTTCATTAAAAAGGAATAAACAGCAACATTTCTAGCAGCAAGCAGAACATTGCATAGACAAAAACAACATAAAAAGATAGGAAGAACGTTAATAGTGTTTCTCTTTCCTCATTCTGTCTCTTTCTGTTTTGTTAGCACTAACATGAAATATTCTGCCCTAGTCACCCGTTTACATGGACTCTGCATCCCAGCAAAATTCAAACTTGCAGCCTCATAATAATGCTGAGAAGTCTATGGAAAGGCAAATACAGAAGAATTTGTGTTTCAGAGTCCATAAAAATTCAAGGGAAAAGACAGATATATTAAATTTAAAAATTGGGGGCTTAATATTGCAATACATTAACTATATTGATTAATGGCAGTGGTAATGATGTGGGATTGTGACCTTTTACAGAGCACGGACATCGCCTTACATTCCGAACAATCAGAATGATCTGCATCTTCCGTACTTTGTCATTCTGATCATGTGCCAGAGCTAGGCTTCCCAGATGTAAAGAACAGGCTGAAAGGAATCAATCTCATTTTTTCCACCATCTGTTGATTTTAATGGAATTTCAGGAGAATTGTAGCTTCAGAGAATATCACAGTACAGAAGGAGGCCATTTAACTCATTGAACCTGCACTGGATCTTATTAAGACCAATCCAGTCAGTCCCACTTCCCTGCTCTTTCCTTATATTCCTGCACCGTTTTCTCCTTCAAGTATTTAATCAATTACCTTTGGAAAATAAATTTGTATCCACCAACTCAGCGTGTTAATCACTTCTTGCATAACAAAGTTTTTCCATATGTTACCTCTGGTCTTTTGGTTTAAATCTGTACTGTCTGGTTGCTTTTTTTTTAAACTGTTGCTGTTGCTTCCTATTTTTAAATGATAGTTTCCAACTCATGACAGTTAGTTTTTCACTCCTGCTTTCCATTTGCTGATTGTTAATTAGGTCAATTCCTAACAGGTTAATTAGGATGCTTTCCTGTTTTATATATATGAGATTTCGGATGCAAGTGTGATATAAAATTTGCAGATTGTAAAGAATATGCACTAGTAAGTGAAAATAAATGCTTTAGATGCAACACATTTCTTGTGATTTTTTTGTTGTCATTCAATAGATTAATATACACATTAAATAGAAATTTATTTTGTAAGGCAAAACTAAATTAGCTAAAAAATCAGCAGAGCCGTAGTAGAAAGATCATATGTTTACTTAATTAGTTCAAATTGCACTTTCATAAAAGAGCAATTGAACAGTAATGTACAATCCTAATCAGGTAGTAATGAAGAGGAAACCAATTGCCATATTTTTAAAGCTACAAGTCATAGATGGCCATGAGCTACTAATGATAGGAAAAAGCTGAAAATAGATTTTGTAAACCAAGGTCTCAAAACAAGTTTCCTTACAGTGGAGACATTAAAATGTGTATTCACAATAACAATATTAAAAAAAGCAACCAAAAAGATCACCTTTTGTGCTTTAACTTGAAGGCTTTGAAAGCCTGGGCTTAAATTGATATTTTTTTCCATGCATTATTATCTGTGATTTCAATCTCTTGGAACATGCACGTTCTCTCCAGATGTAACACCGCAACTGTCAGGGAATGTTCCTCAAGCTGTGTTCACAATTCTAACTTCATTGTTTTTGTGAAGTGTTATATAGAATGCAGTGGCTTATCATTTTCAGGTGCTGAATTCAGAGACTACAACAGCAGTGATACGATTATAAATGTGACAATGTTTCTAAGTCCATAAAACTCTTCCCAGAATAAAACGCTGCACACCTTTCAAGTTTTGTTAACAACCTGTAACATATTAGAGGTCCATTCATTCCTTCTTTGCTTAGGATTAAATAACTAAATTCAGGTTCGCTCTTGGCTAACAGGTTTGGCTGTGACAATTTAGTTTACAATCGACCTGTGTCAAAAGCTGCGTTTTAGGAAAGATATATTTGCATTTTATACAGTGTCATCCATATCCTCAGGATATCTCAGTGTGCTTCAGAGCCAAATAATCTTAAAGTGCAATCCCTGGTGTTGCATAAGAAAATGGTGGCCAATTGTGCACTGCAAGATCCCACAATCATCAATGAAATAAAGAACAAGTTAATCTGATTGGATGGGGTAACCGAAGAATAAATGATAGAAAAGACACTGCAAAAACTGTTTTCTTTCCAACTTAACTAGCATCCATTATGATGATGTGAACCAGCTTTCAATTTAACACATTAATGCATAGGTTTGTGAGAAGCATGCAACCAAATTTGGAAGTTTGAGACCGGCACAAAGTTGGACCTCCAGAAGCAGATCAGCTTTCAAGAATAAAGGTTGGAAAATAGAGAAACATCACAGATATGGGCCATTGGTTAAATAGACTCCTAGGCCGGAATCTTTCATTGGTGTCCTGAGTCTTGCCTGATGGCTGGAAATCTGACACCAATCTCCTGCTGCACCATCTCAATGAGGCGTCCCAGTTCTTTGACCAGTCTGAGGGCACTGGTGGGCTTCTCTCTGGAATTTGACCCACAAGGAGCGGTGGTCCTGCCTGACAGGATTTAACAACAAACTAGAGGCTGGCAGCTTCCATAGAAAGCCGCTGGCTGCTGTTGGGAAATCAAGCTAGAGGTCTACGGATCCTACAGCAAGTTAAGTGATTTAAGGACAGGGTTCCAGGAGTATGGGTCACAAGCAGGGGGTCGGAAAGCAATGCCAGGGGGTTGGTTCTCAGTGAGTGGCCTCTTGCCCTGCATCATGCCCTCAATCAGGTTCAAGAATCCAGGCATCTGCAGCTCTGGGTGATCATCAGTCCACACACTTTGTGCTTCTGCTTAAAGGCATCAATTGGCAAAGAGGCAGGAAGGACTCTCCTACTCGAAGTTAATTCAATGATGGCGGTTACACCATCACCGTACCTAATGAAATGTTTTGTGCACCTCCTACCACTCTACCTCCGAGGCAAGAAGATTCCTCTCTTGGTATGCATTAGAAAGAAATCCAAGAAAATCAAGTTTAAACAGTTTACTTACTGCTCGCAATATTGGTTGCAAAGATGCTCTCGGAAGATCCTGACACCTCGCTGGTAATGCTGGTTTGACTGCCTCTACGTATCCCTCGTTGCAATTGTGTCAATAGGGTGTTAGGAGATGTGGGGGCATTAGAAGTTTCCAGAAAGAGAGATGCATGGCTCTGCAGAAGGTCAGCTGTGGGTGTAAAACAAAACAATAACATGCATGAAGTCCTCCTGAATAAAATCACGTTTGTCTTTAAGAACTAAATGGAGATTTTTCCATTCATTAATCTCAGCTTCAAGGGTTGTATGGCTCAATGTCACCAATGGCTGGATAGCATGTGTTAATTTATTTAGCTACTTCTGTACAGGAAGTACTTGTACAGTGACCTTAAAGGGATAGAACAGATTAAAAACAGCTTCATCTTCGTACTGAAATCTTTCCAAACATGTACAAGGCATAACACTGAAGAAGATCTGCTGATGTGAACAAAACGGTTTGTATTAGGAAGGATATTATTCCAAGTCTACCTCTTCCTTCACATTAAATAATGGAGGAAAATGTGCACATTTGTCCGTCAACTCATTGGGAGTTAGTAAGGATAGGGGTGATGATTCAATGGTGACTCTCTTTCACAGAGAAAGAAAGATTTCGAACTACTCCCATGTTCTAAAATAGGATGTTTGGCTTTGCACCATTAAGTGGAAATTAACTGCAGCAAGCTATCAATTTTTACCGCAATTATTAAATTTTCCCTGGCCTGTGGAACGATCACTTTCTCCCAAAGGATATAAGTTTTGGAAAATTCTCTTTTCTGACTAATTTCCTCTCAATCATATCTGAAGTGTAGCTATACAAATGCAATTGGTGGTTAATATGAAAATGAAGGTGCCAGCGCAGATTCAAACCTTCTAAAATTCTAACGTTGTATGCAAAAATATGCCAACATTTATAAATTGTTAATGAATTAAGAGAACGCTGGAGAAAATGCTTCACCAAAGGGTTCTGTTTCTCTTGTTTTTGGTAAATCGAATTCTGCTACAGTTAATTGTTTAGATGTGTTAAAACTGGCTGTAGTACAAACTATCTCTTTCCTTTGGCATGTAAGTCTTTAAAGATTTGATGTTAATCTAAACAAAAGAAAAACATCAAGCAGTTTGGTAAAATACAAATTACACAGTTTGATTTTCAATTCAATTTATATGCAAGTTATCTGAGTCATTTATTTTCGGCCAAATTCATCTTTGTTTTGATTTCCCATTTTCCTTTTTCTCTGAGTAATTTAGAAGTAACATGTTCTATTCATGCTGGTAGAGAAAACAGGAGACTGGGTGTCAGATCTTTGTGGACTCTTCTCAACCAATAGCTGCAGTACACAGGAGTCTGTTAGGATTGTGTGGTGCATTGGTAGTGTCCCTACCTCTGGTGCAGAGAGTCCAGGTTCAAGTTTTGCTTGCCCTGGATATATGTCAATAGTATGTTGATTTTTTTTTGTAAATAGGAGTTTCTTAGACTAAATTATGAAAATAGTTCATCGTAATTCGCTGTAATAAAAGGAAGTGACATATACTTATGTGATCAAGAGTCTAAAACTTTTAATTCTTTGGATTTCCAGTGTCGTTCATGGCAACTGATAAGGTGGCTTTGCTCAGAGCCTTAGCAGAACTGGTCTTGAAAGGCGACATTAAGTGCTACCTTCATAGCCAATTAATTTTGCTTGGGTAGTTACTTGTTTTCAAATGTCACGTAATTGGTTTCCCTTCATTTGCCCGCATGATTCCAGACCGCACAGACTAAATGAAAAGCATACATTTACAATAGCACATGTACCAACTGCAGGACTGCCCAAAACAAAAAGTTTGTAAACGCATTCAGTGCTGAAATGTTAGAACCGTAGCTGCCAATTTGTGCACAGCAAGTTCCCACAAACAGAAATGTGGCAACAATCAGTTCAATTTGTTTTCTTTAGATGATGGTTTAGGGAAATATATTGGCTCAGGACACCAAGGAAATTTTGATCTAGCGCTGTGAGATCTTTTAAATCCACCTGATAAGGCAGATGTGGTCTCAGTTTGATGACTCTTCAGATGGTCATTTGCAACTCTCAAACAATTGGTAGTTAAAGTGACAATAAAAGTTCATTTTTCTGAACATACAATTTTCCTTTGCTGCCATTATTTGTGCAGTTCTTCCAGGCTTTCCTTTTTGCATTATTATGAGCAAATTGGCACAGTAGTGTTAATTAATATTATCCACATAAGGTCTGCTTCAATTACAAATAGTATTAAGTGAATAGGAAACATTGTATAATTAATTCTATATTGGAATATGAGGAAATAAACTGCATAATTTTCACTTGCTATTCTTTCATTTATAGATGCCCACATAGTTTCACCAGGCTTTAGAGTAGTTGCCTGCATTGATCTGGTCAGTCACCCTTTTCGGGGCATGTGTGTGCTGGAAAGAAATAGCCAGGTTCTTTGCCCCAGCAGTTTGAAGAATCTAAGCCAGGAAATATTAATTGTATTTAGATCAAGTATAGAAAGTGGAATAAAGATGAAGGAATACAGATAGAATTAAGAGATGTGGACTTAGTTTTATCATAACTCCAACAATAATTAACTTCTAAAAGGATAAGCCTTCACACATGTAAAATAAAACTTTCAGGGCCAAAGGATTTGTTTGTCAGTAATTGATCATTTCAGTGCTTAACTCAGCCAACAGAAGTCTAACAGGTCTTAATGCTGCTAAATTAATTACTCACTGATGAATGTCCCAGAACTAATTTTCTTTCTGGAATTTTTAGTGGAAATTTGTACGGAAATAGTTCAAGTTTAAATCATCGCACTGATTTAACACGGGTCCATTGGCAAAGATTGCTACATTGTGCCCTGTGGAGCAAGAGGATTTCTCAAGCAGAAACTTACAGATTTCTGTCCTTATCTGCATATGCACGGATGCCAGAAGTTGCTGTCTGATTTATTCCATTGTAACTCTGAGCACTGACAGCTTCCCCATTATTCCAAATGCAAAATCTGAGCCATTATAATATGTCAAGTCAAAGCTTGTAACGTTTAATATTCTTGGAGTGAAACGCAAAAAATATAACAAACAGGTTACCACCTCCATTTAAAGCAAACATGTTACTACCTCCCTTTAAAATAAACAGGTTACCACCTCCATTTGAATAGTAAAGGCAGGCTTTCAATACGAACATATTAAAAATCCATATGATAACACTGCTGCCAGTAATGATTGCCCCATGCTTATCAAAGTGTCAGGTTCGTTCAAAACTGAAGCATTCTTAAACACTAGTAACCTTTGCAGCATTCACAATGTTGACTTTCTGGTATTATTTCAAACATCAGGCTGAATACCATCACAGAGATGTATTCTTAGGACACCAGCGCTTCACAAGTACAATAAAAAGTTCTATTTGCTATATTCTAATCTGTGGTCTATTTTCTTTCAGAATTACTATGGCACAGGAATATTTTTAAAAATTCACACTAAATCAGCCTTCAAATTGAATAAAAGCAAGTCTGAATCTGTCTCATTGAGTCAAATCTTATGATCATTTAGCTGAGTGTCAATTTTGTGGAGTTTCACAGAGGGTTTCTCTGTGTGGGGCCTAGTGAGATTTCTCCCTGCATCAACCCAAACCTGCCTCACTAACTGCTTGCTCTGCCCTTATGGCACTCTTTCGCCATCCAGTGCCAGCCCAATTCTCCCACTTGCGGCAACAGGAAGAACTCACCACTCATTGGATCTCCTGGAATATACTGGAATTCCTGGTGCCAGCACCATCTTTAAATGCCAGCCAAGCATTGGCATTACAGAGTTGCCCTTCACCAGCAATACAGTGGCACAGCAGCCCCAAAGACATGCTATTGATGACAAAAGAGTTGGCATGCTGACACTTCCTGGTACATATAATCCCATTTCTTTGCCTCGGTCACAACCCTCAGGCCACATATCTGACCTGTCCTAAGCCACAACCCACCCTGCCACACTCTCAAATTTACTGTTATTCTCCCTTTGTCTCCCACAGCAAACCAGCATCTTATCATTGTCTGCTGGGAGACCATCTCAGACAGAAAAGCATTTGGACATTTCCATGTTTTCTATTTACAGCCACCAAAAACTAACAGAGGCCTCAGCTGGCCCCAACAATGCAAAGAAAATGCTGGCATCACGATCAATGATTATTTTACATTCCACGACTGTCTGATGCACCCAGCTCTCAACCACTGGAACTGGGTATCAATCAATGTAGTTTGGCTGGTCTTCTAGTCTTCCTCCGCAGAAAACTGCTCCCATTCTCCCAGCTCCTCAGCATCCAACATGTCAGCTCGTTGCCAGCCCTGATTGTGGATAGCACAGCAGGCCAGGATGATGCAACACAGTCTGTACGTAGGATATTGCAGGCAGAGTCACCCCAGACTATCAAGCACCCACTTTCACCCTCTCCACCTGTCAACAGTCAACCAAACCCATAAGACTGACTCCTCTCTGGCCCCGTGAGTGCCTTTGACAGACATCCCCAGGGAAAGGACCGAACAGACCCCTGAACATGGCCCAGCCGCTGTACTGACAATAGCTCCCTTTGACGTGACAGAGGATTATTCCCCACATCCTTTTGGCCATGGCCATTTGGTTGAAGCATCATGCAGTGTACTTGCTGTGCAGACAGCTGTCACACACTGTAGAGGTGAGACTGGCGCCTCACTGTGATGTACAGCAGTATGTGCACCCGCTGGACTGATCACTACTGACAAGCAGTCTGGCTCAGCGCATGCACTAAACAGAATTCAATACATCAGCACTGTGAGCCTCTAGGCTCTGGCTAAAATGCCTGAGCATGGTACACAAAGGCAAGGCAGGAATGCTGTGAATATCCAGGAAAACGCTAATTGAGTGAGCACTATGAGAGTAAGTGAGCAGCCCTGAGATGTAGCTTGGGCCAATCCATGAACTGGAGGTCTGTTCCCTGTCCCTGCACACAAAGTGTCCTTGCTGCAGCTTTTAATGTTAGGTGCCAGTGGATCTTGAGCTTTAACATGCAAGAGCGCCCTGCAAGTGGATCAGATAGATGTGACGATGGTTCTGAGAGGCTGCCAATTGTCAGATACCAGTACCTATAGGTATAGGGTGTGTGTAGCTGGTGTCCATGGTACATGCATTCAGGCATT